GGGTAAGAGGGGTGGATCGACCGAAAGAAAAATCAGTGAATGGAACCGTAACCTAACTGAAGTAAAAGGCATTAAGTTTGCTAAAAGGGAGCTGTAGGCCAAGCAAGTGAGTGAATGTCAATCCTATAATGTAGTTAAATCTCATTTCTTTGTCTTTTATTTTCATCTTTTTTTCGCTTAATGGCACGAGCTACATTGTTGTATGGCCATGACCATATCGGCAAATAAAACTGAGTGACATTGTGATATTGGTGCATGTTTCAAATTTCAACGCTGTAATGGATTTGTTCACTTAAATTCACTGCATCAATTTTGCTATCGATTTTGCTTACATACTTGCCTAGTGTTGAGGTTTCTCCTGCAAAAAATGCGCTCCAAATGGCTTTTAAGGTTTCGTGTTTCATTGTCTAAAAGGAAGCAAAAAAATAAATAAATATGTATTTGTGTTTTTATTTTGAATATTTAGAAGGGAATTTTGATTGTTTTTTTTGTCTCAAGTTACAGGCGATTAATTTGTCAGACATGATTTGACTAAATTATTTTGCCCTTATTTTGAATGATTCCACCACAACATCCATAAAACAATTGCCCAGTAGTAGGACCGGTTTGTACTCCCGCCATTAGCTAGAGATGTGACTTGTTTAGTTTTAAGAGCTCTCTTGACCGCCGCCGTAGTCAGAAGTACCCTTCCACCTTGTATTCCAGTCGAGCTTTCCTTATTCGACGACAATTCTTCAAGAGTGCGCTGTTTGGCCAGCTCATCGGCTATGCACAGCTACCTGCCCTGTGATCGAGAGAGCAGTGAGGCAGTCCTTGACGGCTTTGGAATGCCTAATCAAAGAAATGTGCACACTGATTGCCTCCTCAAATGGTATTATCCGCTGCTTCATTTATTGCGGCGACCTCCGCTTTGAAAACAAGGCCAGATCTGGTAGCGTAAATTTGGGCTCGTTGGGGTGTTCGTTACATAAAATACCTCCACCTACCTTTCAATCCAGCTTTAATTCATCCATTTTATGTCTCATTGGCCATACAATATGCTTAAGAATTATCCTCTAATTATCCTCTAACTTTCAGTGCTATGCCTCCTGCAGATCGTTGATGAATACAAACACAAAGTAGTAGCCCTTGTGGTGTACTCCTAGTCACTTTTCCCTGGATGGTTGAGCTGTTCCACTCTGCTGCAACAGTTCTGTTCGGTAAATATGCCTGACAAGGTCGACCTAGTTGTTCAGTATATTTAGGGAGTTTACAACTGCCTTAGGTAGGACGTTATTAAAACCCTCCCTCTTCTACATCGAAGACATCAATCGCCTTTAACTGTATTTAAAGCTGACTCTATACCATCTGCTTTTGCAGGAGTGTGATCATTTGATCAAAAATGATCTCTAGGGATCCCACTTCTTATGAACCCACAGTAATTGCCTATTCTTGGGTACCTAAGCTGCTTTCATCCTGATTTTCTGGCTACCCATTCTACTGGGGTCCGGGCGCAGTGGTATTCAGGGAGATGAGGAAGCAGACGCGCGTACGAGAACGGCCTCTAAGATGGGATTGTGACTAGTTTGCACTCTATCGTATTGTTACAGGTGCAAGAAAAAGGATCTGCCACGGCAATAGTTATCTTGAAAATATGCGCGTCAAGCCTGGCCGATAAGGAGAATCAATATCAAAGACGACTATTTATAAATACAAATAAATAATTTGTTGGTGGTGGGATCAGATGGATGTGATTTTTTATGTGCTGTTGATAAATAATCAAACAATCACCCTAAAGACAACAGCCTATACCTTTTAATCAAATTAGACAAGAAAAACGACGAGAATAGGAACACGTTAAAAAAAAACTTTGCAAATTGAAACGGGAAAAATTTACCCCAGACGCTTTACACTTTCACCCTTTCCGACTAGCATTTATTTACATAGATCGATGCGGATCGCTGAGACCGGAAAAAGGGTTTCTTAGAAGGAAATCCCGACCTACCTTTTTCGCGATTACTTTTGTTTCCTCTTGGAGAAAAACTACACACCAGTTTTATCCAGATATACGTTGAAAACCTGAAAATTTCGCTGAACACCTTAAAAATCCTGTTGGGAGTTGTACTCTTTGGGCTTTGACTTTTGGCAGAACTGCCGATAGATGTCGCTACATACATAAATAGCAGTAATAGCAGTTAGAATTTCCTGCAGGGTTGTGACAATTTATTTGCTAAATGGAACATAAATACTTACATATCTGCGAGTTCTGTACGTGCTTTTTTAATGCACGCCTGTCCAGTTGTCCGTTAATTAATTAACATAAATTAGCAATTAAAAGCACCATGATACACTCAAGTATTACCTATGTATGTACGTGCATTCATACTTATAATGTATGCAGTATCTGATTGAAAAAATTATTTGCGCTTACTCACTCACCTACTCATTCGAACTTTGCTAGTGGGTGCCTGCCTCACACCTGAACTCAATTCATTGCCAGAAAAATGTATTAGTCCATTTAACAAGTAATTTTTAGCAAAAAAAAACCGACTTAAAAAAAAATATATATATCTATATATTTCATGACCAATGATCGGATCTAAACCAAACTAGTATGGGACCACCTCTGAGACACTACCTTTCCGTTGCAAAAGGAATTATTGAAATCGGTTGGCGTGGTGCAAACTTATAAAATTATAAAAATTATGAATAAAATTTTATTTTTTATTTGAATAAAAATTCATTCAAAAACGCCCATCCCTGGTGCAAAGTTATGCGGTAACATACATAAAAAAAAAAAAAATATTCTGAAGAACTGATAACCTCCTCCTTTTTTGGAAGTCGGTTAAAAATATACACCTGCGATCAGCTAATTAAGCCAGCAACGTTTTGATAAATTTTGGATATTTTTCTTTGGTTTATTTCAAGTTTATTATTTTTTCTAGCTCATTATTTTTGCAAAAATTATAAAAAATCTACAAAGTTTCATCTAAATTTTCAACTTTTTTTCCGATTTTTTTGAGTATTCAGACTTATAGCACATTCAATTTTAGTGTAATAAAGGGCAAATTTGAAGTTGCTAAAATATCGCGTTAATTTTTGGCAATTATTTTTTCACGCATTTTCTTCCATACAAAGTATATTCCATCTTTTTTTTTGTATTGAAAAAAGAAAAATGCGTAATACAGTCGAAAAAAATTTGTAAAAATAAATTTAGCAACTTAAAACTTGCTTTTTATTATACTAGAATTGAATGGGCTGTAAAACTGCGTACTCAAAACAATTCTGCAAAAACTCAATAAAAATTTAAAATTTAGATGAAATTTTACAGATTTTTTATAAGTTTGAAATGTGGATTTATATAATGAGCTAGACTTTTATGAAAAAAATATTAAACATTAAATAAAGAAAAAGAAAAATAGTTAAAATTGATCAAAACTATGCTGGCTTAATTAGCTGATCGCAAGTGTATGTATGTATGTAGTTATGCACATGTGTATGAAATTCGAGCACGGTGAATGCATTATGCCGCACTTCCGTGACTCTGGAATTCATAAAACAATCTACCCTTAAACTTAGACGTCAGCTGGTTGGTGGCGCATGCGCGGGCCACGAACTTCTACCCTTGAGTGCGTCATTCCATTCATTGCCTTTTTACTTTACTGCGAGTATCTTACTATTACAAAACTATTATTTATAAAACCCAGTCAACTAAAAGCCAACAAAGATCAGTGCAAGTACCTAAAATCACTGTATCAATTTCATTTTATTTTTTATTTTACTTCTTTACTTTTTTCGTTCAGTTAAGGGTAGTGTTTATTTTAAAACAAAAAATGTTGCGATCGCTTAAATTGCAAGGGGAAAAATTAATTTTTAAATGCGTGGTGAGTACGCTCTCCTACTGAGACTCTGTTGCAGTCAAAAGCCTGCTTGCATTGTGCAACAAAACTATCTGCCCTTTCATCTCTTTGCTTCGGGATATGCAGCACATCCGTCTTCACACTCATTACGCATTTTTTTTTTTTCAATTATTATCGCTTTGTTGTAACTCCTGCTGGTCTGCCAATCAGGAGAACGAACAGCAGCTTCGTTCTACTCGTATTTCCTCCCCACTTCGTTCACACGTGCTTCATCAATTCCTTTTGCTGCTTGGCTATGCCAAATATTTTATTTTTTCCCAAATTTTATGGTGTAAATTTAATTTGTGGTTTATTTAATGCTTCCACAAGGGTAAACCACCAGTGTCCATTTCCGAGCCGCATACATTTGCTGCATGTATGCCTTCCTGGCTTGGCTGCCTGCTGCTTAACTAGCCCTCGGTGTTTGAATAAATGTTTAATCAACGTTAATTGTGTTGTAAATGGATTATCTAACGATTATCGACAGCTGTGCGCGCACTAAGCTTCTAACATCGGTTTCCCTGGAATAAATATGTATTCCTTTTGTTCCAGCTATGGAAGCTAGGTAGCTGCACATAAATTTATGCTATAAACAATAAAACCATTAACGATTCGTTTTCACTCTGGCGCACAGTTCGCTATTTTCATTCTCCCTCTTACCATATGGCCAGCTCTTATCGGCCAGGTATTTATTTTGATTGATTCCTACAGCGTAGTAACCACTTACCACATAGTCAAGAATAGTCCCATTTTGAAATATGAGCCTAAACGATTAGTCTAGCGTATGCAGGGTAGCTAAAAAGGAAATGCCGAGATGATTCCAGCTTGTCGTTCTTCAAGCAACTCCGGTAATATTGGTTTGATATTGAGTCATCTTAAACGACAGTGCCCGATCAGGACATCCGTCACAACCGAGAGTTGGCGCTTAGTCGACTACAGAAGTTCTTTAGATCGGCCGTGGTCGACCACCGCTAATATAGACTTTGCTATAGCTAGGTTGGACTCTCGATTATTTTTTATGCTCAAAACTTTCCTATTTTTCTCCTGATAGAAATTTCTTGTTCCAAAACCTCATCTTATCAAAAACTCAAAAATAATATATGTACTAAAAATCGTATTTTCCTTTCAGGAAATCGTTATTTTCGTTGTATTTCTTTTTTTCACAATCAAATTAAATTAAGCCTCTAAAATATTTACTTCAAGTCTAGAAGCCTCACTTTTTCGTCAAATTATATTTGTTATTTTTAATTAATATACATTTAACTATACAACTGTTAGATAAATACATCACTTTTTAAAAGACATTTTCCTACACAAATGAAATTAAGTACATACACTATGATCCAATTGTATGCTCCAATTCTGTAACAAAATTTCAAATCTCCACAACATAGCGACTGCTGCCTGTAGAACTTATCGAGTAATAACTGTTTTCTGTAAGCAAAATAAAGAATCAGTTGATCAAAAGTTAAATACACTCATTAAAATATCCACACTTACCATCATCACTATCGAACGATAAGAATTTGTCATCGTCTCGCGTCATCGAGCGTCGATTGCGTTCTGCATTTCTCAAAGTGCTCAGATCTGGTGGCCGACGCTCCGGTATAGGCGTCGTTTCCGTTGAACCGATCAAACTGGAGGGATACTCGAGCGGTGAGCCGTACTCGGAACTCGCGCGACTCAAACTCAAATTGGAATTGTTATCGAGGTTCAATGTTATTCTAGGCACTTCACTATAGACTTTAGTTTTATTGCCATTACCCACATTGCTGCGATTTGTGGTCGTCGTTGTTTCTTCTAAGCTCAATGTTCTAGGTTTTGTTGTTGTTGCATGCTTGTAGATTACGTGCAAACTCTCAGTTTCGGATTCCAGTGAGTAGGTGCGTGGTGTATTCGTTGGTGTTGGTGTGACATCACGTTCGGCATTCGCATTAGCCTCATCCGTATCCTGCTCGCCATCTTCGTCCTCATCCTCTTCCAGATCATCGTCGTCGTCAGAGTATTCTTCAGATTCGTCGCGCGTTAGACCGCGACGCATGATGCGCGGTCGTTGTGTCAGCTTCGACTGTGGCGTTTCGAAGCGCGAAATCAACTTATTGACCTTGCCAACATCTGAAGGATTCACTTGTTCGTTGTACGCCAGACGCAGGGATGATGTTTTTACCAACGGCTTGGCGATACGTGTCATTGAGGGCGTGCGATCTGGTATGCGCGGTGGCTGTGAAGGTTTGGCCGGTGGAATTGGTGGCACTGGTGGCTTTGTTGTGGGCAAAGGTGGTGATCCCTCCTCCGTCGTTTTGGACGTGATTAAAACAGACTTTCGTAGCGGTAGCGGTGGCGGTGGTGGAGACATCGAAGGAGGTGGTGATGGTGCCGCCGATGGTGGCCTATCGTCATCGTCTTCGTCATCATCGTAATCGTTGCTTTCATCATTATCCTTTTCATGTAATTTAATGCGCTCGCTTTCATTTTCATCTATATTGGCAATGAGGCTCTCACTGCTATTAGAAAATTTACGCTGGGGCACTTGCGGCAATTTCATTTCTAGCTTTTCGTCAACATTTTCCTGCACTTCCTCGCACTCCTCGCGTATGACACTCCTTAAAATCTTTGTTACACGCGAGGAATTGTCATCGTCGGCAGCGAATGGCTCTTCACTGCTATCCTTTTCAAACGAGGAATCAATATGCCTCTGTGGCACTTTTAGTATTGGCTCATCGCGCAGCTCCTCCTCGAAGTCATCGAATGCCGCAATGGCACCGCCCTTACGAACGCTGGCTTCGAATATATCGATGCTCCTTGTTTTGTAGAGCTTATCATCGCAATGTGTGTGATGCACTTTCCACGGCTCTTCCTTCTCGTCGATGCTGTTTAGGGTTGCCGCTGATGCGCCCTCTTCTGAACCCTCTCTACTCTGTTGGCCTAGTTTTTTGGGGCGCGCAGCTTCCGGTATCCAAGAATCGGAGTCGGAATTGGAATCCAGAGACATTTTGCGTAAATGGCCACGAGGCGCAGGCAATATGGCTTCCGAGGATAGGCGACGCTTGCTTGGTGGTGTTATTTCTAGAAAATTGGATATAATTTCATTATTTGGTATCCACTCGGCGCGACTGCTACCCGGACTGGGGGTACGACTGGCTCTTAATGGCTTCATCGGCGGCTCGTCGTGTATTTCCTCTATAATGGGTGTGGTGGGTGTCACTGGCGGCGCTGGCCGAGTCACTGCTATAATTAGCGTCGATTCAAATTGGTCGGAATTGTCTTGATGAATAAGTACGCGTGGTAATTCTGTGTCAGTTTCGGAATCCAATGAGTCAGTGAGTAGATTCTTGGTTGTCCATATTGCGCGCGTATGTTGTATATGGGTGCCGTCAAACTCGCGCTCAACGTGCCTAATTTGCTCGACGTGCTCCTCTCTCTCTGGCTGCCTTTCTTCTTCGGAATCGCTTGGCGTGTCGCCTGCTGCAGCGCGTCTTGCAGCGGTATGTGGACGTACATAGATAGTGCGTTCATCGTCCGATTGATCTTCGTATTCCTGCTCGGCTGGCTTGCCAGCGTCTTTCTTGCTGCCGCCGCCGCTCTCCTTTTCGATATTCTCCTGAGACTTGTGAAAAAACTTGATCTGCTGCATTTTCTCATTCACCTTCTTGAGCGTGCGTTTACGTGCCTGCTCAAAGCGCTCTTCGAAGTTCACAGCACGCCGGCAGTTGTCGTCCTTTGACTTGCCTGTGGGTGTCTGGTTGGCTTCGTCTTCGGTGCCATCGAGATCGTCTGTGGAGCTGGCGCGCTTACGCTGTCGCATATTGCGTAGTTTTTTCATCAGTTTGTCCGTGCGCTTCTCTTTGTCACCTTCCCGTTCAGGCGACGTTTCTTCGCCGGTTTGGGCGCCATCGGTCTCATTTGGTTTGCGCTTGAAACTCTTCTTCCATGTCTGCAGCTTATTGCTAATTGCGGCACGTATGGGTGAGCGCTGTTCTTCCGATTGCTTGGGCGATGCTGTTTCATCGAGATTCTCGGTGGATGCTTCGTGCGAAGCGAACTTCCGCAAGCGCGCAGCCAATTTTTCAGTGCGACTTATTTGCTTTGTCTCCTTTTTAGGCGTGCCTTCGCCCTCAGTGTCTTCAGCAGCATTCGCTGCGCCGCTGCTGTCGGCTTCTTGTGTACGCCTTATCGATTTCGAGAAGCGTTTGATGTTCTGTTTCAAGACACTAAGCGGATTATCATTCTCTGCTGCGGTTGGGAGCTCTGGCTTCTCTTCCGATTGCTGTGGTGTTAGTGGCGCGCGACGTTTCTTCTCACCCAACTTCTCTGGCGTTTCCTCGCTACGTTTGCCCAAGCTGCGCAATTTGTAAAGCGCCTTAGCGCCTCTACTCTCTGCAGGCGCTTTAGGCCCGCTCTCCGGTGAGCTTTGCACGATTTTTTGCTTCTGATGGCCGCCTCTAGCGACTGGCAATTCCTCATCCTCGTCCAGCTCGTTGTTGCTCTCATCGGAAATATACTGCTCGAGTGGTGGATTGCGTACTCTGGCGAAACGCGTTGAGGCAATGCCTGGTTTCCGTGGTGGTGGCGTAGCCTCCATGCCGCTCTCGTCTTCGCTCTGCACATGCACGGTCTTGCCACCTTTTTGCGGCTTCTGCTTGGGTGAGTCGTCCGAGCTCATACTGCGTTTGCTGTTGTCTGTGTCCTGTCGCGAAACTTTGAAATTGAAACGGTAATTATCCGCGATTTTGCGATCCCTTTGCTCCTGCTCGGCCCGCTCACGTTCACGGTCCTCATTGAAGCGCTCCACATAGTGATCGACTTGTATGACATCTCTGCGCACCACTGTCTTTTTCGCAAAGATGTGACTCAGCCGAAATTCGGTGATGTCCTTGTATCCCTTTTGCAACTTTTCGGTGAGAGACATTTTCGCCACAGCGCCGCCCTCAGCATCGCGCTCATTCGTTACACCACTAATGGATGTGTGTATGGGACTTATTGGACGTGACAAGCGTCCGGGTACCTCAAATTCACGCGGCCTCGGGTAGTCATCGTCCACGCTGCAGGCACTGCGATAGGTGCCACGTTGTGAGTCGCCGCGCTTTTGTTGATGCATCAGCGACGAAATGGTCGAAATGCGTTGCGGTGAATGATTTACAAAATCAGCAGGCGGTATGGGTGGGCGCACTGACAGCTGTTGGAATGGCGAATGCTGTTGCTGCTGCTGCAGTTGTTGCTCCTTCTTTGACCCTTTACTGTCGCGGCTAAGGTCCTCGCGCGACCGACTGAATATGCGACGCGGGCGCAATTTCGGTAATGACTTTGGCAATTTAATTTGCGGCATTGCTGGCATAGCAGGCAATGAGGGAATTCGCGCTGAAAGGCAAAAAAAGAAAAGAGAATTAATGAGCGGATAAATAATTAAATTGTTGGATTTGTGTATGGGTGTATGTGTGTGTGTGTGTGTGATTGCATGTTGGCGTGCAGCAGCGGATGAATCGCCACAAATGGCTAACGTTTGCAAAAAAAAAATGCATTGAAGTATTGATTTTCAGTGGCATTGAGTGGCACTAAGCTTGACCCACAAGCGCACAAATGCAGCAAATGCGTGGCAAAAGCAGGCATGCAACCGAACGTGCATATGTATGTACATACCTCGCAGGCTGCTTACATCGATATTCTGGCACAAGTTTTTAAAATCCATGTTGGCAATTTGAACTGCAATTAAGTAAACAATTAATCCTTGAATAACCCCTAAGCCCCACGCGCCTACTTACTTCGGTGTGCCACGCTCTTTACTAGGAACCCTATGGCCTGCCTTTCGCTGCACTCACTCACTCGCAATCACTAACGACAGCTAATAGGTTTTTGGTGTTCCACAGCAGTTAATGTTTCCAAAAATGTCCAACGCAAATGATTAAAAATGCCATTTTAGTGGTCTTGGTTTTTTCAAATTAATTCAAAATTTTCCAACTACAATTTGCTGTGCAGCATAGGGCTTTACTGCCGTTCTGATTCGTTTCAGTGAGTATTTTAGTCTGCCTTTTCAGTCGAGGTTCCATGGCTGAGCTTTCAAAGCGCATGTCTACTGGCAACCCTTTACTTGCGGCGCTCAACCGCTTTTGTCTAGACTTTTTTCTACTTTTCAAAGGGGTGCTAATTGAATTAACGTTGCCTTTTTTTACACATTCTGCGCACGAACTCTTTGTTGCAGTGAAGCTTATTTTCCTTCATTCGCTTTCGTTTTCTTTTTATAGTTGTCCGAGTTGTCTATAAATAGGCACTTTTCTTCTTATGCATTTCTTTCTACGCCTTTTTTGAGCTGCATTTTATGCATTTCTTCTTCAGCTGATTTTCCATGTGACTTTTGTTGTTGTTTGCTTTTCTGCTTTTCATCAAAAAGGTCTACAAAGCTTTTGAATCATTCCACAACTAAATACTTACCTACTCAGCTATTCTTTATGTTTGCTTTCACAGTTATTCTGTGGAGGCTTGGCTTGAGTTGGGTAGGTTCAGTAACTTCTTTATTACACTAGAAGGCAGTTGATGGCAGATGTTTTTAGTAGAAAGGCTTACGTTTTCAACAAAAAATAAATAAAAGAAGATCTATTTTCCGTGGCCGTAGTAATCTTGCGATCTCACAGTCTTATCAGCCGACTCATTCTATCCAATATTTTAATGTCCAGTGACCCAGCATAGAGTGACGTTGATATGACTCAGAGATACCAACGTGGCACGACATTTCCATACAATTTTTATGACCAGGTTTTAAGTGACTAAAAATGTATTTCAAGTTTTTAAATTTTCAAAAAATTATATTAAATTATTAATTATATTAAAATTTGACATGTCTAAAAATTATGTCCTGATTTTAAAATACCAAAAAATTTTACATAGTTTTTAAATACGCAAAAATTGATGGCCATTTTGGAGTTTCCCAAAACTTTTTGCATTTTTTCAATTGCGAATAATTTATGTCCAGTTTTAAATGGCCAAAAATGTATGGCCAGGTTATAATTCGCCAAAGATTTCTGCTCCATTTATAAGTTACCAGAAAAATCCGTGCAGTTTATAAATAAACAAAATTATTAAAGTTATACCAAGATTTTAAAGGACTAGAAATGTACATATATATCCGGTCTTTTTTACCAAAGTTTTAAAATTACCAAAGATTTATGTCCCGTTTTCAAATGTCCAAAAATGTATGCCTTGTATTTAAAGGCGCATAAATGTATAGGTATCCAGTGGTTAAATTTCCAAAAGTTATGTTTTGAGTTACAAAAAACTGTTGACGAGGATTTTAATGATCAAAAATATATGTGCAGGATAAATGTGACCAAAAATTTATGTCCAGCTTTTACATTGCCAAAAAATTAGGTTCAGTTTTCAAATGACCAAAAATGTATGGCCTGCATTTAAAGGCGCAAAACTGTACAACCAATGCTTAAATTTTTAAAAATTATGTCCAATTTTTGAATTACCAATACTTTTTGACGGCCGCTGTGGTGTAGTGGTAAGCAGTGCGCGCTTCCACTCCGCAACGCCTGGGTTCAAGCCCTGGTCAAAGCAACATCGCAAAAAATGTAGAAAAAGGTTTTTTCTTAACAGCGGTCGTCCCTCGGCAGGCAATGGCAAACCTCCGAGTGTATTTCTGCCATGAAAAACAGCTTCTCATAAAAATACAATCGCCGTTCGGAGTCGGCGTAAAACTGTAGGTCCCCCGCTTTGTGTGACAACATCAAGGCGCACGCCACAACTCGGAGGAGAAGCTCGGCCAAACACTAACATATGTGTAAGCGCCAAACTATTATTATTATTAATACTTTTTGACGAGTTTTTAAATAATCAAAAATTTTTGTGCATGGCATGTTTGATCAAAAATTTAAGTCCAGCTTTTAAATTGCCAAAAAATTATGTTCAGTTTTCAAATTACTGTATATCCAGCTTTTAAATAATCAGAAATTATGTTTAGTTTTCAAATTACCAAAAATGTGTATCCAGTTTTTAAATCAGCAAAAAATTATATCCAGTTTCAAATTGTCTAAAGCCTATGTCTAGTTTAATTTTCAAGAACATATCGCTGGGCAAAGTAGTGGAAAATTGTTTATTCTTCGTGCACCGCGGTCATCGCGAGTGCCAGAACAGAGATCACTTTTATTAATCAAACAAAATGGAAATGACTTGGCAACTTCCTGTGCCTGGGCGATTATTTCAACAATAGTTACTTAGTAAGTTTTACATTCCTGCCCAATGTCGCTACGCCATCGAGATTCGCTTTGTTTTGACCCTCTTTTCAAAAGACCTTCAGCTGAGTGTTTTCTCGTCTAAAGCTGGGATCACACGATTTGTACATTTGGCAAAAAATTTGTCAAATTCATAGACAAATCATGTGAACGCTAAATTACATTTATCATTTATCAGAGAAGCCAAATATTTGCCTTCTGTTGGCAAATGAAAAACAACCCTGGTGGCCAAATCGTGTGAACGCAATGCTGCTACAAAAGCCAAATAAAAATTAAGCAAATGACCAAATATCTGATTTGCCACTTGATGACAAATGCCAGTGACAAATATACAAATATTGTTGAGCGGTATTGCCATTTCGTGCTTGTGAACCTTTGTATTTTCCAATTTTGGAAAAATTTTAATATTTAATATAATATTCGTATCCCACAACTAGCGAAAAATATCACGTTATTTGAAAACAATAATTTTAAAATATTTGCTCAAACTGAACATTTGAAAACATGTACATATACGTATTCGACAGTAGCTGAGTGTGCAGAGAAGCGTGCGACTATTTTTAAGCTTTCATGAGGTCCCAGGTTCTTATGCCGGCAGACGAACATATTAAAAAGTATTTATAAAAGTATAATTAATTTCTGAGTATAATTAACTATAAAAAGCATATGTGAAGTTCAGAATGAGAAATTTCAGAAAACCAACCGGAAAAGTATTTGTTTCACAACCCTTCGTGGCACTTTACTATTCACCATTCTTTCAGTTTTCGGATCTCTTTCCGCAGTTTTTGCTGGCTATACACATATTCATACATGCATATCGTCGTATTAAGTACAAAACCGTGTATCGTCATTCTGCAAAGTCGCGTAACTGACATTTGCTGCCAAAAATTGGATTTGGTTACAGAAGCTGTTGGCTAAATCCTTATCCATTCGTCCTGAAATATACTATCTAGAAATGCGATTACTTTATCAAAAAGAGAACCATTTTGAATATGAGTGTTTTTACTCTCTAGAAAATAATTTTTGCAACCTCACATACGCGGTTTTGCCTTTTTGTTGATACGCGGTTTTGTACTTTAAACGGCGATATACAGATTATTAAAGACGATCTAAATTACACTGTGTGACAAAAAAAAATTTATATAGTTTTTTCGAGGTTCACACTTGTTGTAGGTCTATTCAAGCAGTAAAATCTGCATACTCAGAATTTTAAAAACACCCTCAAAATATGGGCTTAAGGTCAAAAACCGCGTTTTTCAAAGGGTGACGCACAGGTATACTTGCTCGCAACTTTATTTCTGTTTACCCGGTGAAAAATACGTATATATGTATGTGATTCAAGATAAGACATTTCGCTTTGCTCAAGAAATGGCAAAGGAATCAGTGATCGGACTTAAAAAAATTTGTGTGGTAGAATCTGGAAAAAAATGTGGTAGACTTCAAAAAAATGTGGTAGATCTCAGGTTTTGGATCAAACTTTGTACAAAAATTAAAAAAAATCTGCAAGGTTCCACCTAAATTGCAAACATTTTAAAACAAAATAAATTTTAGTTTAATAAAGTGCAAGATTGAAATTGATAAAAATTGCGTTGAGTTTTGGCAATTTTTTTCCTTGACAGTTTCAAACATATTTTGAAAGATTTCTGGAACCTTGCGGAGTGCTGCCAGCTTTTCTTTTTATCACATCACGATGTAGCGAACAATTGTGGCTTGCTACTTGGGATTTGCCGATTTTGACAATTCTCAAGTAAAAGTAAACAACGCTTTAGAAATTTTAGATGCACTGAAATTTGCTGATCCTTTCACAAAAATCGCCGGTTTTTATCATTTTCGCTATTAATTCTTTTTATAAATCATATATTTTGCAATTTAACACAATAAAACCACGTTTGATGTCGAAAAATTGAATATTGATTTAATATTTTACAGTTTATTTTATCCTCCCATTCTGTTTGTTGTTAGTGTTTAGTGTTGGACAATTTTTGCTCTTAAAATTAAGAAAATTATGTTGAGCAAAAATAAAACTACTCAAAAACGCGAATATGTGGTAGATTTCATACATACATAGGGTGGCCATTCTCAAGAGAAATTAACCATATATAAATGGTTGTAAACAACGAAATGTTTTCTCTTAAATGGCATATGTAAGTATTTTTCATCGGACAAACTGAAATAAAGTTACGAGCAAGTATATGCTTCAACCTATGAAAAACGCGTTTTTTTAGCCCAGATTTTGAGGGTGTATTCAAAATTGTGAGTACCTGTGCGTATATATTATTTTTGTTTATTTCACTTCAAATCTCACGAAATCATAAATGCAAAAGTATGGTTGACACCGGATCAGCTGTTTAAGTATTTATGACCAAATGGTTAAATCGTGTGAATGAATGTGGACAATATTTGTCACTTTACTTCCGTGCGCAAATGTGTGCCAAATCATTTGGATCTTTGACAGCCAAATCGTCTGATCGCAAAACAAATCATTTGTACATCGCTATCCAAATGCGCAAATGTGGACAAATCTAAATTTGGCATTTTGTGTACAAATGTACAAATCGTGTGATCCCTGCTTAAGTTATAAGCACTTTGCCCACCAAAACTTTGAAAGTGAATGAAATCTGAAAAGGTTAATACGGATTTAGGAAAACAGTTTTGACTATTTATAAGATTTGAAATAAGTATCTAAATTCACTTCACTAATTTTAAATAATTTACAACGAATTTCTAATAATAATGTACATATTTCTTTTTTCAATTCTTCTCATTTCAGCTCGCTTTGCAAACATCGCACAATACATGCATACATTAATACAACCGATATTCGCATTACTCCCCAGTGTTTTGGTGTTCTGTGCTTAAGTGAATTTAATAAGCATTCCATTTCATATTTTATGCATATTTCAAATTATTGTTATTTTTTTTTCAATTTAGGTATAATTTTCAAATTTATTAAAATTGCAT